CTCCCGACGTCACTGGCTCCCCCCCGAGTGTCTCCCCCTCCAAGGCGGCGGCCGCGACGGTGGCGGCCGCGGCGGTAGCAGCATCGGCATCCCCCAGTTCTCGCGAGAAGCGCCGATGCGCGGAGTGGAGTGGGGGGCTGCCAGACAGAGCAGGGAGGGAAAAGGCGGGGGCCGCCAGACAGAGCGAGCGAGCGAGGGAGGGAGGCGGAGGTGTAGCCGGGGATGGATTGGAGGGAGAAAGAGCCGCTGGGAGTCCGGAAGCTGCGCCTGGCGAGCCCTCAGGAAACGGGGGGACGGGCGCAGGAGGGGGCAGTTAAGGTGGAGGAGGACTCCCTCGGAGCCGGTGCCCAGACAGGGGAAACACTGAGAGGCTAGAGGAAGAGGCGAAAGCCAGAGGAAAACCTACACGTCGGAAGAGACCCTAGAGGAGAAGGAAGGTGGCCGGGAGGAAGAACCACCAGGACGGCTGTGGAAACTCACCCGCCGTGGCAAGAGTTCAGAGCAAGGCTGCTGCGGAAATCTCCATTCCATCAGGATTTGTGTTACCCGTCACGGACTCGAATGAGAAAACTGATACATATTTGAAGTGGTTTCGTTAGCTTTGATATTGTTATAAATAGAGTGAGAGCAGCCGTCGCATCTTGTTTTCATGGCCTGCTGTCTCTAAACAAGAGTTCTCAGAACAGCTGGCAGGTTAGAAGTGCGGTGTGTCTCGAAAGAGCCTGAAGGATGTGGTTGATAGCTGTGGTTGTCTGGCACTAATATTTGGCTCTTTCTTGTTTAGTACAGGTACAAGCATGCAGATTGGCAGATATGGATGTATTTCACATGACTTTCATCTTATTTTAGGAAACTATTACCCAATTTTCAGGGCAACTGCTCTCCAAGTAATACCTAATCCGGTGATGTAACAATTGCAGTGAACAAGATCTACAAAACGATATAGCTATAAACCACAGTGGGTATTTCTCCTTTCAGCACTGGCGAGAATTAACTCTCAAATATTACCTGGTTGTAGGCAGGTATTAATTGCTATTCCCCAAGGGTTGGTATGATGTAGTTGAACCTACTGTATAACAAATATGAGGTGAAGTATCAAGAAGATATTTTGCCTATGAGAGAACAGACATAATTGCTGTTTGGAGCCATGTAAATGAAGTAGCATGCCTCTTGTTTGAGTTAACACACCTAAATGAGCGATCTATCAGGTTACAACATTGTTATTTTTAATTTGTATTTAAATTATTGTTAAAAATTAGTGGTAATTACAGTTGTATTTTGCTTCTCAAACCTCCCCTACATTTTGTGTAAAATCTTTGGTTTAACTTATACATTCTGCATTTTAACTGGTTGAGATAAGCTATTGACTGGTGAGATAATGAAGTTAAAATTTGTACATATGTTCAAAACAAGGCTACATATATGTCAGTTTCAAACACTAGCTCATACTCCAGACCTGATTTCAAAAGTGAAGATCCATACAATTTCTCCTTTCATCATTAAGACACTGGAATGAAATTTTGCACATGTGTTGAAGAGACAGTTTGTTTCATTTCATCAGCAGCATCTAATTTTCTAGATCTATTCTAGTGAGGGTAATATAATCCAGCTCGAAATCTTAAGAATATTAGTTTGGACTGCTTGGAATACTGTTATTTCTCAAAAGCGTTGTACAAACGCTGTTAAATAAATAAAACTAATTTTGGCATCTGAATATCACCATCATTGTGGTATTCATTTGTAAGGCTGAATGGCTGAGATATAAAATTGTGTAATATACACCTTTAGCACAGAGTAGAATTAACATTGACCTTAGTTTTCAAAACATTAGTTGAAACAAAATACATTATAAATGGGAAACCAATAGATGAAATGACTGGACACTGGATTATAAGAGAATTCAAAGGAAATCTGCCTCCTCTAAATGGACTCTCCAGCCTCCATTTTGGAACTTCTTTTATGGGGATCAGGCCTGTACATCTGGCCATGTATTTTGAAGTTGTTTTTTCTGGAATATCTGCAGCTTTGAATGCACTGCCTAACAAAGTTTTGTGTAGGGTTAAAAGTTAGCTTTTATGTACAAGAAGCTCACCGAGCTGGAGCTCTGGGATCAGGAATTCAATTTTCCACAGAGCCTCTGGGAAGAAAAGCCAGCCTGTGTTGCTGTGGGTAAGAAGCTGCTTGGTTTCAGAGTACCCCAGAAAACTAACTAGTAAGCTACTTATGAATACTCTATATCTGGAAAACCTTGTGAAGAATCACCATAAATGAGAAAAACATTACTGTTACTTAAAGTATCACGCACTCCTGTCTTTGGATCTTGCAGAAGAACCACACAGCCTTTGTATTTTTTTATTGGACTATGAAAGATAACCTGAATAGCCAGCCAAGGCAGTACTGTATCTATAACTATGCAAGCAAGGACATTCAATCATGACTGTTTCTTCAGCTATTTGGTAAATGTTTTAATTTGGATGCAGTTTGCGTACCCAGTGTATACACTAAATTTAATCCCAATGTGTCTGTATTCTGGTCTGTCATGTTTTTGTGTCCCTGTGTCCCTAGCCAAAAAGGAACCACAAGTTTTGACGAGAGTGCAGTGGGTGGGAGGACAAAATGATCAGCAGATCTTTATTTAAGAAGTTTGGGACATTATAATCTACACTGCAAAAGATTAAATCTAAAGCCTTCTAGATTGAAATATATTCTGCAACCCCCATTTTGCAATTTGCCTTGTCAATCTTACCCACACATCTGCCCAATTTTATAACTTTTTTCCTGCTCCAAGTCTCCCTCTGACAAAGAGAAGTCAAAAGCTAGCTGCTATGTATGGGAATTCAGTGACCCAGTCAAGTATCACCCACTCTTGTTGCTGGATTGTTTACAAAGACCACACCGCTTTTTGTGTGTGTGAGAGAGAGGGAGGGAGGGAGAGGAGCCCAACACGGCTGCACTGAATGAATTCTTCATAACTATCTTTATTGCAGAAAGTGTAGGGTGGATACTAATGGCAGAATTGTCACTTTCAGGAAAGTCGTCTGAGGAACTTGGGCAGCTAGTGATGTGAAGAGATTAAATTCAAAATCTTATTAGCAAATTAACAAAAAATATTTATTTCCAGGTAATAGCCATCTGAGATTTCATAGCTTGTGGGAAATTGCTGATCATCTAACAAAAATGTACTGCCTGTGTCTAAAATCCTTCTGTAACTACAGACTGAAAAGTAACCAGTATAATGCCATTTTTAATGGGATCCAAGGGATTTTAGGAAGGTAAGGGTTACAGCTTAATGTATTCTTGGTGTGTTAATTAACATTGATTCTAAAGAAAATAAGCATATAAAAAAGAAAAAGGCATGCTGAAGAAGAATCAACATAGTTTCAGTCTTGCTAATGCTTTAGAGTTATTTGAGAGTGCCCATAAGCATATTGATAAGGTTGATTGGGTAGACATCATTTGTCTATATGAAGAGAATTGATACTGTATCTCAGAGGTGAATCATGGTACTATCATACTTCAAAGTGATTATTCATTCAAGTCTGCAGTCTTTATTTTTTAACAGACCTTGTGACTTCATCATCTAGATAGGATGATGATTCTACTTTTCTGTTTCCTATCCCAAATCTGCAATGTGCACCCTGTTGAAGTAGCCCTGGAAGACTAAAAAGATTTCTTTTCATAATATTTAGGAGCCCAATGAAATTGTTACCCAACACTGAGTTTGGGTAGACATTGTTTACTTCCCTCACTTAAAATGCCAGCATAAATTTTAACAGTAATGAGTTGAGAGGATAAAACAAAAGGAAGAAAAGAACAGGAATGAAGAGACAAGTTTTGCAATATTAGGGTCAGTGTTTAAACTTGTTCAAATGATACAGAAATAACAAGGTAAGCATGTTTGCAGGGGACATCAGATTTTGGGGTGGTTAAACCAAAAAGCCTGTCCAGACTGAGGAAATGGGCACTAAATTGGCAAACAATTAAGTGTAAGTATGCATAGAATGATTGGGGCAAACAAACAACTCCACATATATCTTTGCGGACTAACCTGGCATTGACTGACCAAGAAAGGGATCTTAAGGATGTGGTGGATAACCCAGTGAAAATAACTAATTGTGCAACTGCTCTGAAAAACACAAATTCCTTGTTAAGGATATTTAAGAAAAGAAGGGTTAAACTTGCCAGCATCATAATAACATTATACTGTACAAATCAGAGGTAGCACTTGAAATATTGTAGTGTGTAGTTTTAGTCTAAAAAAATGTTATAGAGATGAGAAAATTTCCTAAAAGAGTAAAGTAAAATCATCAAGAAGCTGGAGCAAAGCCCCTATAAAGGCTTGAATCATTGGTATTCAAAGAGGGAATGTGTAAGTTGTCATGGCTATTTGTGGCTAAGTGAAAAGGTGCAGGGCACCTGTCAGGTGGGTGCTTGGTCACATACCTGATGACATAGCCAGCAGCTACCTGAGTACCTCACCAATTAGCCATTACAAATAACACCATCCTTCTGTGAACACCAGTAGGATTCTGGTTGAGGAACAGTTTCAATATTTGGGAGTTTAGGGGAAGGCATATAAGTGGGAAGGTATAAAACTATGCAGGATGTAGAAGAAGGATAGGGAAATAAGTAAACTGCACCCCTTTTCATAATACTGCAACTCAGGGTAATTAAATGAAGCTGAATAGTGGGAGTTTCTAGACAACTAGAAATGGTTCTTTATATAGTGTGTAGTCTCACTATGAAATCTGTTGCC